AGGTGTCCTAGGTAGGTAAGAAATATGAGTTTCAAAAACAAAAAATTGTTTACTCTTATATGAATCTTTTAGGATTCATATATGAGCCAAGTTATGAGCCAGCACCTTGTGCCAATATAAAAACAATAAAGATTTGAAATTTATATCTAAACTTGTTTATACAGAAATTGGAAATAATTAGAAAACAAAAAATGAAAAAAATTTAGCTTCAGCTGCTGCTATTGAATGCATGTTGGAATGTGTATATGCATGTAAGTATGTATGTATGTTATTTGCAAGGACTTTTTGCGGAATGCCTTTGCAAATATAGTGAGTTGAATAAGACTCAAAGAGCAACCTAAAATAAGAGTCCGAATGTAGCAATTTATGAGGCCGATAAGGGTCTCAAAAAGAGTCATATATGAGGCCAAAACTTGTTTTAAAAGAGTCCAAAATGAGCCGTATATGAGGCCAATAAGAGTCCAATATGACTCATATTGAGGCTCATTTGATGTATGAATTTAAGCTCATATAAGTCGACATTCGTAGGAAGGGAAACACACTCATATCGGACTCTTAAATGAGCTCATTATGAGCGTAATAGCTCCGAAATAGGACTCCTTAAGGACTCATTTATGACTCCAAATGTTTGCTGGGAACCACTATACATACATACATACATTCGCATTTGCTTAAGGTTATACTTTTTGTCTTTTTTCTATCTAAATCCCTACCTCTACCCTGTTCGTTCTAATTACATTTATGTTATTCTTTTTTCCTTTATCTTCATTTTTATATTTATACTCCATCGATAACAAAATCGATAGTAGCATCCAATAAAATATTGATAACAAAACCAATAAAAATATCGATATCAAAATCGAAAAAAAAATTCGATAAAAATTTCGATAGCAAAGTCGATTATAATATTGGTAGCAAAATCAATTAGAAACTTGATAAAAATATCGATAAAAATATACATCACAAAATCGATAAAAACACACATAACAAAATCGATAAAAATATCGATAACAAAATCGATTAAATCGATAAATATCGATAACAAAATCGATAAATATCGACAACAAAATCGATCAAAAATGAGATCTATAAATATCGATAACAACATCGATATATATCGATAACAAAATCGATAATAAATATCGCTAACAAAATAGTTAAAAATATCGATTACAAAATCGACAACAAATTGATAAAAATATCGATAACCAAATCGATAAAAATATCGATAACAAAACCGATAAAAATATCGATTATTTTATCGATAAGTCCCGAGAATCCCGAACATCTCTAAAATCCCAAAATAGTTCCCAGATTGAGTCTCTCTCTATATCCTTTCCTCTTTAATTAACCGACATCCAAAAAAGGAGGAGGTTATCAGTTCGTCGGAATATTTTTTTAATTTTATTTTTTCAGTGGATCATGAAATATATATGTATATGTATATATATATTTTTTTTTATGAGAGTTGAAGTCGGTTTTTTTTCTAAAAATTACTTGTATGTTTATCGTTTTCTTCATCTACATATTCCCCTTCAGCTTTGCCCTAATACATATATATGCCTTTAGAATAATATATAAAATGCCTTTTTCGGTTCCTGCTACCATTGAAAAGGATTCCTTGATGCAAGAACATCAAAAATATCTGTTTAAAACTTGTTAAAAAGTTCACCTCATATTGTTTTCACGTAAAAAACACATCATCTAATTGGAAGAATAATTAAAAATAAACATATAATTAGAAATAATGAAATAATTGAAGACAATCTATTAATTAAAAACAATCAAATAACTAAAAACAATCAAGTAGTTAAAAATAGTCAAACAATTAAAAATAATCAAATAATTAAAAAAACAATTTGATTAATTTTGATTATGTATTTGATTATTTCTAATTATTTGATTATTTTTTTAATGGCACTTAATCATGATTATTTTTGATAATTATAATTAATAATTAATTATTAATGGCTGGGTTATGTAAGAAAATTAAAATAATCATTTAAATTAAAAAATGCAAAAAAAGAAATAATGATTACTAATCGTAACGGAAATTTAACAGCTCTGAACCCATATTATAGTGGAAGAATCGCTCTTTCAAATAAGCCTGAGAATCAATTCCCGAAAAATTTATTTTTATCACTTCACAACGCAGAACAAGAACCCTCTGAAAAAAAAAATGGACTTCCGGATATATGTATATGAACATAGTGCTTGTCATAACTATACGGCATTCACAAATTGGGAAGTTTTGACTATTTGTTTTATTACTTTAAAATTTTATTTTATTTTTTTTTTTTAATAGAAATGGTTCATTATTTAACAAAAATCGTATGATCCAAGTCTCAAATTTTGTGCAATATTAAAAAAAAAACTCAACAAACTAGCTTTTTAATCGATTTCTTAGAAATATTTTGAGTACCTATACAGTTTTGTAGCCCATTAAATTTTCGTATAATATAGTGCAAGTTTGAAGTAGCTGGGACTTATCGCCTTTTTTTTTTAGCTGATGTAAATTTATCCATCCCCTTTGGTTCGTCATTATCTCAGCGGTTACTTATCTTTTTTTGTTTATACAGAATTATATGTATATATGTATACATAAATATTTTGTATCTTTACAACTCACAATGAGCTACCCTAAGCCAACCTGTTTTTACATAAAATGAAGGTGAAAGGTCGAAGCCACATAAGCCACAGTGATAAATTGTCAGCCTCAATGCAGCGTAACTTTACAGTTGAAAACTATTGCGTGACGTAAAAGTAAAAAATTCATAAAAATCTTTACTTTGATTCGGTGAAAATCCATGCTTACGTACGTGTCGCTTCGCAAATAAAACTGTTCATATAGGTACAAAATCTTGAAAAGCAGACAAAAAGCTGAAAAAGAATACAAAGGTACAAAACACCCAACGCCAATCAAAAGCAACATACATATATACATACATATATACATACATATGTATGTACTGTTAAATAACTTCAGCGAAAAGTCGCCAGCGTGCACGACTTCAATGCTAATTAAGTTGATTAACAACAGCAAGCTGACGTCGATTTCGCATTAATTCCACACATCCGTACAGACGTGTTTACATACTATGCTATGTCAATATTTATTGCATTGTTTGAAGCAATGTGCAAGAACAATAAATTATTTGCATTAATTCAACACATCAGCGACACCTGTGATTATGATTATCGCGCTATGAACATTTTTGTTATTGTTTTGTTGTTGTATTTTTTTTTTTCTATTTTTACTAATTAATCTTTATTTATTTATTTGCTGCACCAAGTGTTGGGTCAACACACTATAAACATTTCGTTCACTGCTTAACATTTATGTTTGTTGTTAATCTGCTTTTAGCGGTTAATTTCAGTTTCATTTCAAGTACACAATTAACGGTACTCAACGTCACACACTACAAAATAGTTGAGTGCAGAGTACACTGTGAAAAAAACAAATGCTGGAAGCAGTTGTGGCGCTCCCTATGATGTCATTCGTATAGTAGTTTCAGACTTAATGGGACTGCGATCTAAAAAAACTGACAACTTTTAGCTGACCAAGAACTCTAACTGTTGGGACTTAAAAATCTGACCTGATTAAATCCGCAGACCAAACCTAACTCTGAGCTGTAAACGCTGGTACGTCAAGTATCATGAGTTTTGATCTAAATCACTGCTGTAAGTCTAGTGACAGCAGCCTAAAAATAGATACTAACGTCATCAGTTATGGGATCGTGTGATCGAGCTCTAATGATATGATTTTTGCTAAAGCGATCAAGTGACCTAAGTCAAACGAGGTAATGTGATCTCAAGACGTGCAGATTTAACGTTTTAAAAGCGAACATGTGATGTGATGCTTGCCGCGACGTCATATCAACTGATGTGATGTGAGATTCACAGTAGAATTGCTCTATAAAATGTTGAATGCGCGATTAAAAAGTGAGCATTTATTCGAAATCAAGTGATGTGATGTGGTGCCACTTTATTGCCTCCGATGTGATGTCAATCGAAACGTGATAAAAGTTATTTTCTGCTCTTTTTTCTGGTAAACCTTTTTGTATGCTAAGTGAGAGGAGATCATGTGATGTAAATCGAATGACGTGACATAATTTAACATAACTGGTTGCTGTGGTGTCCAATGATGTTATACATATTGGATGATGTCGCTATAATGAGCTGAATTCCTCTTAGAGCTCATTCTTTGTAAGAGTCATGCTGATAGGATAGGTCTGATGATCTACATAAGTCGTGCGAGGTGATGCCGGTTGATGGACGTGTTTAAGAGAGTCTTATAGTAGTTTTCGCAACTGCATGGAATTACATACCCACTAAAAGAGACACAGTGACTTAATCATACAAATTTTCT